GCAAAGGGCAATGTGTTACCTTTAAATATTCAAAGACTGTTTGAGATGAGAACAAGACACTACAATTTAAAAGGAACTAATGTTTAAAAAACCCAGATTCAGAACCCAGGTTATGGAGCGAAGCATCGCTGTGAAAGGAATTAACTTATGGAATAGTCTTGACAAAGAAATAAAAGAACCAAGTACAATGATGACATTTAAGAAACACATAAAATCAAATGCAGTGTGTATGTACGAAAAAGAAAACTAAGTTGTTGTGCATAAAAGTGAAGATTTCTGTTTGCAATTGATCAGTAATTGTGCCTGAACTGATTTGGAATGTTTAGTAACCATCAGTGTTGATGTTTTGTATTGTAAGGGAAAGGGGGGCAGATAACATTAGGTTACTCTTCTTTCTGCTCCTTTTCTTTCATTTCTTGTATGACACTCTCGATGTCTTGTACTTTATGAATGAAATAAAATAAATAAATAAATAAACATAGGCCACAATAAGATATGTTATATATTTCAAATCACTTCAGGACGGTTCAATGAAAAATAATGGCTAAATCATGGCAAGTCTTTATTAAATCACTTCTTGTGCAAAGTGAATATGAAACACACAAACACTGTAAGCATCAAAACAGTTAAGATGTCAAATGTGTCACATAAACAAGTTCTCTTCCTCTAAACAAGTTACAAAACTGTAGTGCTGTAACAAAATAATTTAGGATAATATACCAAAAAATACTCTTGGTGCTATATCGATACAGCAGCCACTGATATCGATACTGTATCATCACATTAAATTACACGATATTGATATTTCAATATTTTTTGCCCACCCCTAATAATAACACATTTAAATATTATACCTAGACTTAGACAAACTTTGGAAATTATTTGGATACAGTAGCTCACACAACACAATAAATATAATAACAGCAAAAATATAAATGATAATACTAAAAGCTATAATTAGCAAATTTAGATACAGCTGCTATTTTGCTAAATCAAAGTTTTGTTCCAATTTGTACAATGATAATTAACCCTGATCTTACAAAAAACTAGTATCAATGACATATAAATGAATTTCAGAGATAACTTCCTTCACAAAGAGATAAATGATTTCAATTGGACTTTTTTGGTGAAATCAATAAATAAACAGAATAATCACACCTGGCATCTGATGAAAAACTCACTCAGAATTGTTAGAACAACCACATAACGTGACTTTCTGGACCTGTGGGCTGCTTTAAAATAATAGTTTCACCTGACCTCGTGACCCTACACCACTATCACTGACATACTTCATTATGCACATTGTAACTACAGACAGTATAGACAGAACATGCCCAGAGCGTGCCAGGGTCCCTCCGCTCTTTGTCCGTGACGCCAGATTGCTGCATTAAAAGAAGCACACAGCACCACAGATGGGATGGCTCTCTACCAACAACTGGCAGGCCAATTACTCCTGTTTCACAATTTCTCTGTAAGCTACGAAGCACAGTCAATATAGGCACACACTATCGCACCAGTATGTCAAGTATTTCTATGGCAAAGCATCACAAAGGATTTCTAAGTATAAGCAGGAGGTAGCATTCATATTCGACGGACTGTGTGACAAATGACCTTGTTAATTGCAGCATAGTGATTGCTCTAACCTTATCTGTATTAACGCCATTGGTTCCACCTGTGGCATAGCTTCGGAATAAGAGTTTTTTGAGAGGCAGAGAGAGAGGAATTATCCCTTTTAGTCAGATGTGCTAATACAAAATGCCAGGCACTTTGGAGAAAGGCTAGCATGCTGCTGCTCATATTTTCCACCCACAATACAAAGAACGTTTTAAAGTGGTTGCTGTGTGTGGGCATGTAAAATGAAGTTGTGCCATATCATTGAAGCCATTTTTGAAGAGTTGCTCAAAAGGCAGAGCGTTTGACCATAGTCTGAAAGGACAATTAATTGCAGGTGCTGTGTTAATATTTATTTAACATTTGCAGATCTGTTATGGAAGATTTTCTGGTAACAACTACAAACATGGTGTATTAAGTTGTAGCCAGCATGACATCCAATTACTGATTTTAGTGCATGTTATGGTTATATTGATTTACTATATAGTGCTGTGTTTGACTATGTAATGAGAGTCAACTCCATAACCCATAATGCTTTGATATATTGCACTATTGCCATCTGTACTACAATCTTTTTAATTAATCAATCTTTAAGAGTATATTTAGAATTAATTATCTATAATGATCAAACATATGTATTCTATATTTAACATTCCATATATGCAAATCTGAACAACCACTTTTTGAGAAACACAAAACATATGTGTGAAATTCATTAATTATTTTCCCAAATTGTGTTAGACTGCATACAAAAATAAGTTATACAAGAGTTATGAATAAATATAAAAAGTAAAATGTACCCTTATCAGCACAGATTTTTAGATTGCCTCTCTCATGCAAGAGTCTACAGGCTGATGATATAGCGTGTAAATATATTGCAGAGTCTAGTCACAAATCAAGAGTACCAGGGGTATAATTTAAGTTACGAGTGGAAAATAAGAACGCAATAAATGATACGACGATGAAGATGAGGATAAGCATGAAGCATTTTTAATTTGTGCCGGAACACGATGGTGTGATATGAACTGAGAAGGCTGTGAGTCAAAAATATTTATGTGAGCGGGGTGCATGGCATGTGTGTCTCTTCCAGATGGACAGACTGAAATAACTGAGACGAGGACGAGATGTGGAGGTATATTCTGCAAGAGGAGACAAGAACAGGTTTCAGAATAATAATGAGCTTAAGACATGGCTGAAAGTGAGCCACTCTGAATGTAATGATTATACTGAGAGAATAGGAAATAATAATAACACTTAATAATGACTACACACAGATAGCCTTAACAATGAATCATTCTTAATACGCTATTTGTTTATTATGGATTAAGTCATGCCCATGCTTTATTAATACTTGTATGAAGTATTTATGAAGTACTTATAAAGTGGTATTGTAATCCTAGAACCTAGAAGCAGCTTTAATTTGGACAACATGGATTACAGTTGCTTATCTGGCCTGTTCTCTTGTTTAAAAGGCCTATATTACACTATTTTCTGCTCTGTTACAAAGTTGTTAACTCATCACAAACATACCCAAAGTTGTGTTTTTTTAAGCTCCTAAACTCATCATGATGAAGACTGACCCTTTCTAACCTTTTAAAACTGATAAACTACCTAATCCATGGAGTTGTAATAAATTAGCATCATCAGACATTTCGCACTATATAAATATTTGTTTCATTACACACACCATTACACCGTGCCAAAGACCCTTGTAGTAGTGTCATCCATCACTTATTTCCCTATAGCATTTAGATATATTATTCTTTAAAACCAGATAAGTAACTGGATGTTTTGTGTTCCTTATACCAACAACATTGACAATGATTAGCATGCACCTCCACAACAGCAGTGTAGACAGCTAAATTACTTCTGCATTAGGCATGAGTGTAGGTTTTCTCTGCGCAGCTACTGTTTGTTGTTTATTGAGGCTTGCCTTTTTAATTATGAAGACAAATTAGCTCATTATTAAGTGTTTGCATTTGTGAGACATTTGCTCTAGAGGCTGTAAGCATGTGCCTATGTTCACACGACTACACCCAAGTCCTCTATTATAGTTTGGCCCTGACCATAAACGAGGATTATGTGTTTGTTAAGCATGTTTAACTATCAAAATGCATCTCTATGTGTCTACTTTATTAAGGGATCACTATGAAAACAATCTATCTCCAGGCAGACGAGTAGGGTGTGCCATCAGTCCAAGTTACAGGTCAGATCTGTGGAAAGGTGACCCCTGCTCAGAGCATACAGTAAGAATGTATATTTTACCAGTATGTTTTGAGCAATAAAAACACTTGTACTTGACGAAATGCGAGCTGATACGTTTGGTGGAATACTGTGGAACATTTCAGTCAGTGCAAGGACATCACCATGGAGACACATAGGTGACAAATCTGTTTTTGAATTCAGCTTGTGAGTATAAGCTAGTACCAGCCAACAGTTGATCACACTGTATACACTTGGATACGTAACTTACTCTTTAACTTTACATATATACATTTTTACCCATAATTATCCAATTTAATGTTGATGAATTAACACGTTCTGGCATTTAGATGTGATGCGATTTTGACATGATAATTACAATTATGTGTTTGTTATTGTGTAATTTGGAAGGTGATGAAAACATTTACCAATCAGTCAGAAGTAACAAATATAATTACCAAAAGCTAACCATAAATTAACAATAAAGTCATCCATATTGACAGTGCCTTGGGGACCATTTTGTTATTGTCAATGTTATGCCTCTTACGTGTATGCTGATTATGACCTTTACCTTTTAAAAGCCTTGTCTCGTGAGGTTAATTGCTTCATTCACCCTCGGTGAGTTTCTTCCCTTCATTTCATGAGCTGTCTTAGTTTGTCTATCACCATAAAATACGATATGTTATGTACAGCTTTAGGGAGGAGCACAACTCATCTTCCTTGTTCAGTTTAATTGTATTACAAGTCCATATGGCAGCGTTGTACAATATCATGCTCCTGATTTCTCATCATGTGTAGCTATTATCAATGATGCTTTTCATTTGCACACGCATATTTACCATAAGCTGATGCGCTCACGGATGAGAGAGGCGGCTCGAGAGAAGCTCTGCTCAGAAAGTAAATTAACGCCTAAATGAATTTTAATCTGTGTGGATCATTGGGGAATGCATTTATGGCTAATAGCATAGTTATTAGTAATGCATGTGAATAGTGAGAAAGGCTGAAAGCACACAGCAGGTTCTGGCTGTGCATACAGAAACAGGTGCAGTACTACAAAAGGCCATTAGGAGGTGCTAAGACACAAAGGGGGGCAGTGGAAGCACTGCTGTGGAAAATAGGATCGAAATGAGACAGAACACTACACAAGGTAAAAGAATGTTTCAGGCATTTTTATGAATCTGGTCACTTTATTTTTCAGCCACTGGTCACAATAATACCATACAAAAGTCAAATTCCAACATGAAACTGCATTGGAATGTGATATTTTGGTACACGCGCACACTTTCAGGAACAAAATTAAATACAGATTTTTATAAAATAACAGAAAAATGGACGACAGACACATTTAGTGATTAAGACATGCAGTGACAATATAAAAAATAGACATTTGTTTTCTTCCTTTCTGTACAAACATACATGGACACATATAAATATATAGAAGTAAAAAAGAGTGTATTTTTAAAATACAAAGTTCAAATTGTACAGTTACATTCCATCATAACAAAAACAGAAACAGAGCACAATATTCAAGTGATTTTTGCTGTTTTCACAAACACTGTACAATATTGTACACTGTAAAAGCAAAAACTAGACCACTGTTCCCATGGACTCAGCTGTAAACATGAATGAAGATAGGGTACAGTTTGGTGGATCTCTATTTGAAATCCCTCATTCAAGCTAAAGTTCAAGAGCAACCAAAAGGAAAATAACAATCTGTTCTTTTAATGCGCTCTTTGATGCCTTCAAGACACTTCAGTGCTTTGTTTTATCTAAACGTCTCTCAGCAAGCACTTAGCATAAGGAGATATTTGGTCAAACAAATAGGACAAGCTGTAACATGAACTGGCCACAGTCTTTATAAAGTCTATATTTGATGGCACAAAGAAGCAGTGTAGTGAAATGTCCAACTATGACACAGTGAAGCCACACAAGTCTCTAGTTCTGCCGGACGTCCTGCAGCAGTTTGTTAATCTCATGCACCAACTCGCTAGCGTCCACGTTGGTGTCATGGCGACCCTCATTCCTCTTGCCGCCCTGATGAAAAACTCCATCAAACTCATCTTCCTCGTAGTTTTCGGGGATTTCCTCCATGGCCGGGAGCCACTTGAGGTGAGGGGGCTGCCCATTTGTGGAGGTTGACGTGGACGTGGATGTAGTTGTCGATGTGTTTGAAATGTGGTTGTTTGACGCTGGATTTAAATAGTGGGTATTAGCTGCCCATGCCGCCACACCAGGAGGGTAAGCTGCACCTTTCCCGCCCGGTAACAACCCCCTTCTACTGTCCTGGGGTACGGCGTTATTGGCATTAGCATTAGCTCGCGCCACAACCCTGTCGCTAGCTGGAGGAGGCACAGGCTGGCTGGTTTCATTGCATTCTGCGTAATCTGGGGGGAGGAGCCTTTGGAAAACACTGTTCATCTCATTGAGAAGGGATCCAGCCCCGCCCCCTGCGACATCACTTCCTCCCACCACAGCGCCACCCACGGCCTCCTCGCTGCCCGGCTCCTTCCCGAAAGTAGAGAAACTTTTACGACGCTCCGAATCGACAGAGGACTGGTCATCATCCGTCTGCTGTTGGGGTTGCTGGGTAGATTCCTCCCCAGGTATGTACATGTTGTTGCGGTAGTCAGATGAGGATTGGGGTAAGGACAGAGGGGGCATCCAGCACTGGTCTGAGTGTCCTAGGACACGGCATTCATCTGTGCACAGTCTCATAGCTGGAAAAAGAGAAAGAAAAAAGTTTTAGTGGTTGAAATAACCCTTGCCATGTAAACAAGAATTGGACAGACTGGAAAGATCAATAAGTTATATACAATAAAATATACAAGAGGTACAGTGTGCTGAGGTTTTTGCATTTAAAAATACAGAGATGTTGGGGAAAAATGAAGCACTGGGAGTTATACACGGAGAGTTTTGAATATTTTATACCACATTGTTTTGTTTGTGGTTTTAGGATGTCTTTATACTGTTCTCAGGGGTCTATGGTGATGTCTTTTCTATCTTCAGACAATGCATTGTGAGTAGCTGCAGGTAACAAGGAAAACACATAATGAAGAATAAAAATGACTATGTGCTAAATCTGTCCCAAATGAAACTAGAGGCAGATCATCAATGCAATACTGTGTACATCTGTTTTTAGTGAGTGCTTTTGTCATATCTAGTGCGTATAAGCATCTAAATAGAAAAATCTAAGCAAATTAAACCCATTGAAAAGAAGTAGGGATAATCCTAGCTCATGGGTCATTAGTTTCCTTCCTCTTTTCAAACGAGCGCAGACGAATGAAACCTCCAAGTCTCTCTCAGAGCACAAAAAAGACAGTGTCCAAGCCAAGCGTACCTCGCCATCACTTTATCTCGATAATGATAGAGAATACATTAACAAGTACAGAAGTGAGGCAGGCAGAGAAGCAGAGAAGGGACAGAGTCAGCAGCAGCATATAGGGAGAATAACATCGTTCTAAAAGCAATTACGATGAATTCTCCTCAGTTCAGACATGAAAGTGCAGTACTGTCAGTCACTGCGAGGGGAAAAAAAAAGAGAAAGAGAGAGAGAGAGAGAGAGAGAGAGAGAAAGAAAAAAACAGCACCCTAAGTTGCATACCGATGAGTGACAGGCAACTCATCTGCGCTCTGGGGAGGATTTTTACAGACATGACTCTATCTTAAGGCCAGATAATGCAAGCACGCAAACACACATAGAAGCACGAAAAGCCAAAGAGACACACCGTAACCTCCCTGAATGTGATAACGAGCGTGGAAATGAGGGGCTACGGAGAAGAATGGGGCCCGGTACAATGGGGGATTGTGTCTGTGTAGAGGGTGAATGGAGAAGCCTGTGTAAGAGACAGGGACAGAGCAGTGGACTAATAACAGGCTTATAAAAGGACCGGTGCTGTCCATGGTGCTGAAATTAGTTAGGCTGCAGGTAGAGAGGATGTACCACTGTGGTCTAAGGTATGTGTAGCAAGATGATTTCAAGTTCAGTCTACTCCAGTTTAAGGGCAAGAGCTCACATAAAGCACCTAAAATAAAGTAAGACTGAAAACACTGTTTGCTACCACTGCTGTGAAATGAAACTAGTAAACAAAAGTCTAACTAAAGCAAATATTACTTGCATCTCTTTATGTTTAACAATCATATAACACTGTATGGTTGCTTAAAACACTAGTCTTATGTAGGATTGTGCAGGCAAATGTATACTATAGTATGTATGTATACTAAATTGTTTTACCACAAAGTAAGTCAATAATAGGAAAATGAGGCAATTTCTTATTCATACCTTTCAGATTTGCAGCCTCAAAAATAAAGGTGCCCTATGTACATTTGTGTGTGTGTGTGTGTGTGTGTGTGTGTGCGTGTATCTAAAACCTTCTTTTCTCCATGGAGATAATGTTTGGCTCAAATCTGCCACAAAATGGCATACAACTTGGCAATCTCCATGGAGACAAGCAGATGACACAAGCAAACCAATTATTTTTTGGCTATAAATATGCCTCTAATTGAATAAAATTATTCCAGGCGAAGCAGCAACATTCTGATGAGATAAGCTTTGGACTGATCCTGTACCTGAAAACGTACACAGTGCACCTTTAAGTTAGATGTAACAACGGTCTGAAGCCAAAACTATCTGTGACATGTTGCTAACAAAGGCATTGCTCAGTGCAGTGAAGCCAATTTGAGGAGTCACAGTAAAAGGGCACACAGGAGAAAAGAAAACACACAGAGGCTGCTGCGCTGTGTTTACCGGAGCAGCCAATGACATGAGAGGATCTGACAGGAGTGGGCGGGGCTACGTCACAGTGTGTCTCACCTGGGTGGAGTCGATGGTGCATCTCGAGATGGATGAGGTCAGAAAAGCCCTCCCCCAGAAGCAGCCTGTCCACGGGGGATTCTCGGCCCATTTCACAGTCACTGTCCCCCGCCTCGCTGTCCCCACGGCCACTGTCCTTCAGGCTGAACTTGTCCATGTCTTGTAATGCATACCTACAGCAGCATTAGGATACAAGTTAGAGTTTCACTGAACAAACAAGAAGATAGATGCCGTTTGTTTGCAGGCAGGTGTCATTGATTTGTGATCTGAATCTGTCTTTCAGGGGACTAAAAAAAAAGTATGAATCCATCAAATGAAACTTTAGGCTGTTTGTAGAATCTATCAAGTCTCTAGACGAGGCACGAGCCATAAATCCTCTGTGCAGGTATATCCTATCTGTAAATCTTTCACTGCAGCCACTGGGGGCTCTCATAAATCTGTCATCTACAAATCAACAGGGAATGTTATGACGAAGAAGTGATGGATTCATACTTTAATATGTTGGAGAGAAGACCACTGCTGTGACATCTATAGACAGATGGCTTGCATATCTCTGAACTGAATGACACGGGCATGATGTGGGAAGTACAATAACACACCATTTAAACTATGGTCTACATTGAACTGAGCAGGCAACTGCACAACAAGTAGTTGGAACATGTAATAACACAATGAAGAACAAGTGGTTTGAAAAGTAAATAAAAGATAATCTCTTTAGGGGAGGGGGCAGGAGGAGTGGGATAATTTACCTGTAGCTGCGGGAGTATTTGTTGCCGCGGAAACTGGGTCTGGGCTGGTACTGGCCCTGATGGAGCATGGACAGAAGCTGTGAGACTTGCTACATCCAAAAATAACAAAAAATAAAAATAAAACAAAAATAAAAAAATAAAAGGGGGATGGATAACAGATGAGGGTAAAAAGAAAGACAAAAAAAGAGACAAAACAATGGATGAGTAAACACAAAATGGTTGATGATAAAGAGTCACAAAATGGATGACATTTGAAAACAACAAAAAAGGGAGAGGAGTGAAGGGGGGTGTCTAGACAAATATGGAGACACTGGGTGTGAGTAAGGAGGGAGGGAGGGGCGGGTTACGGAGGTGACGGTGTAAACAAGGTAAAGACAGAGACACGTGTAATCATCAACAGTCTTAATGAGAGTCAGTTCAAACTACAGGCCAGTGTTGATTAAGTCACTGTCACACATGGAGACAAGTTAATTTGTTCAAACAGCTGTGTGAAGATGATGACGATGAGGAGGGAGGGAGAGTTAGGGAAAAGGGGAGGAAGAGGGGGTGGGTGAGTGAGGGAGGGGTGAACTATAGGGAGCAGGGAGAGAGAAAATTTGGAAAGGGGCTAAGGGACCACAGTTGAAATGTCAGATTAATTTGATTTGCCGTGTGCTCACCTCTACCGGTGGAGTGGCGTGCGTGAGCTCCAAGGCGAAGCTCTCTGGAATGTGATTGGACGAGATGGTCACCAGGCTGTTGAGGGACTGGCGGCTGTGGTGGTTCTGCCGGCTGCCCATCTGCGCTCGGTCCATAGGGGGCGTTGTGGAGGGTGAGCGATGGTGAGATCGGATTGGCAGTGTCCCGTTCACCGTAGGGACCAAAGTGATGTCGTTTTTGTGGATTTGGCGGGAGGGCTTCTTTGGATGGTGCTGATGAGTCGATTCGGCCACCCTGCAGTTGTAAGAGTTTCTGGTGTCCTTCTTCTCCCGGTTGCAACGGGTGGCAAAGACAACCATGATGACAAGGAGCACAGCACAGATGGCCCCAAGAGATATGATGATGATGAGGGATACATTCAGAGGCGATTCTCCCTGGTCCATCACCTGCACATGGTTCTCTATGTTTTCAAGGGTGATTTTTAAAACTGCTTTGGCACTTAGACTCTCACTCCCTTGATCCCGAACCACGACTGTCAGCTCGGCGTGTTCATGAGGGTAGTTCTCCAAGCTGGCATTGGCATGGATCTCACATGTTCTTGGGTCAATAAGAAAGAACCCCTCCTCATTCCCACTTACAATGGAGCAGATGAGTTCAGCATTGACTCCTGTGTCCCTATCTGTTGCTCTGACCACTGTCACTAACTGCCCTGCCTCTGTAAACTTTGACGCACGTATGTCGGCATGCATGTCACTAATGATTGGCGGATTGTCATTCTCATCCAGGATGTTCAAAATCACTGTGGCGTTGCTTGACAGTGGAGGCTTTCCTGAATCTTTGGCTTGAACCACAAAAGAAATACGACTAACATCCTCTCTGTCAAATGTGCGCAGGGCATAAATGGCACCGTTAGAAGGATCAATGGTGACATAGGTGGAAATAGGACTCCCATGAACTGAGTTTTCTAGGATTGAATAGCTAACTTGTCCATTGTTGTCCAGATCAGGATCAGTAGCCATAATAGATGTAAGATATGCCCCTGGTGCGTTGTTTTCTGACTTAAAGATCTCATATCTACCTTTCTCAAAACGTGGGGGGTTGTCGTTTTCATCAGTCACGTGAACGGTGAAGTGCTTAATTGTGGAGAGACTTGGAGTGCCTTTGTCTTCTGCCACCACAGTCAGGCTGAACTCTGATCTCTTCTCTCTGTCTAGTGAAACGTTAGTTAATATAATGTAATTATTCTCGTACGTCCTCTGCAGCTTAAAATAGCCCTGGCCGTGTAATTTGCACTCCACTTCTCCGTTCGAGCCAGAGTCCAAGTCCTCCACTCGCACCAAAGCCACAAAAGTGTCTAAAGGGGAAGCCTCGGAGATGTAAGCCGCGTCCCCGTTTCCCTGGGAGGACATGAGGTTAATGCTAATGTCTGGTTTATTGTCGTTCACGTCGACAACTTTGACCAGGATTTTGCAGTGAGCGGGCATTGAGTTAGGTCCCATGTCCTGCGCTTGGACGTCTATGTCATATGAATTAGCCGTCTCATAGTCCACGCGCCGGAGCAGGGTCAGGTGACCAGTGTCAGGATTGATTTTGAACGTCTCCACGATTTTGGGGGCCACGTGACTGCTAAAAGAGTACACTATTTTAGCATTGGTGCCCTCGTCTGCGTCTGTGGCATTCAAGTCAATGAGTAAAGTGCCAACCGGGGAGTTTTCAGGCAGGTTGATGACATAGGAGGACTTTTCAAATACTGGGCTGTTGTCGTTTGAGTCGGTTACGCTGATTTTGAGGAGAGTGGAGCCGGTCCTTTGGGGTACGCCCCTGTCAGAAGCCGTGTACTGAAGTTCATAACCGGAGCGCACCTCTCGGTCAAGTTCCCTGAGCACCACAAGCTCCGCGTACTTAACCCCGTCACTCCTGGACTGAATGTCAAGCTTGAAAAAATCGTTTGGCTCTAACGCGTACGTGTACAGAGAGTTCTCCCCTACGTCTGGATCTGTGGCGCTGTCCAGTGGAATGCGCGCTCCCACCGCCGCGCTTTCAGAGATTTCAATGGGAATGACAGGGCGAGCGAACTGGGGCGCGTTGTCGTTTATGTCCAGTACTTCCACCTCAACATGAAAAAGCTGCAAGTGCTCCGTTGGCAGCGTTAGCACGTCGAACTGGATTGAGCAGTTTAGGTTCTTTTCACAGAGTTTCTCGCGGTCGATCTTGGTCCTGATGCTGATCTCTCCGTCCTGCTCACGGACTGTCAGCAGCGACGATGTGCCCCTCTGCATGGCTCGGAAGCGCAGAGACACAGAACTCGGAAGTTTGGCCAAAATATCCGCTACATCGTCTCTGAGTCTAGCAATGACTGTGCCTACTTTTTGCTCCTCGTAAATCTGGTATTTTAAAGTCTTCCCGGAGACATGGTTTACTAAAAATAACAGAGCCACAAGTTTCCACATTTTCGTGAAAAAGAGTCTCTTCTCTTTCATTCGATACATTTTTGATAAATTCCAATACAGCTACAAAAAGTAGCACGAGTCAGTCCCAGTTTAACAAATATAGCGCACTTCTTTCTCAGTCATTTGCATTGCTTTTCCAAGAATGAGACGAAAAAAAAAAAAGCACTCGTTAAAAAGATTAAAATACACAGCGTTCCACTAAAAAGGAAAGTAATTCATTTCGTCCTTGTTACCAATCTGTTGCACGGGTCCTGTGTGCGTAGATGCCGCTGAATGTCAGTGGAATCCGTGCGTCTGTCTCGCAGTCGCTCCTCTGTGCGTCTGCTGTGAGCTGTGCGCTCTGTCTCGCTCCCTCTCTGCGTTTGAGGCTCCTATGCGCGCACTCTCCCAAAAATAACCCGCCTCAGACCAAACTCGTTGTACATCACCGACAGCCCCCCTCTCTTTCTTCCTTCCTTTTCATGCCGGGAAAGACAAACGCTTCTTAAATCAAACCCTGGCTGGTGGCCACTCCGGAGTCCACTGGAGGAGGAGACACGGAGGGGGCAGAAACCCCGCCCTATGGGGGGGCTCACTTTCCCCACTTTCTAATTCCGCACAATGAACAGTGAGGGAAATAAAGTGTACTACAAAACGTCCATTCCTTAAGTAGTTTTTCATTGCAATAAAACCACAGGAAGGTTTAAGTTTCTCGCTTTAGGTCTGTTCTCTGACAGCACGGAGGCGCACTGAAGTCCACATAGTCATTAAACAAGTCAGAAAATACGATCAGCTCAAGCTTTACTACACCGTGCGTTAGAGCGCACAAGGCACACTTCTGAAATGCAGCGCATGCAGCCAGCGGCAGCTGTCATCACTCCTGGATGCCTGGGCACTACGCTCACAACATGCTTATATTCTATGTGTGCTTTCAAGTGGCAGCTGACCCTCCGCGTCTCCCACTTTGTAGACGGTGTACGCAGCGCATATTTCTCATACGCTTCATCTGTGGCTGCCTGTCGGTGAGAGTAAGCGCAGTAAGCTCTGTGGCGAATCGGGCAGAAAGAGCGCTGGGCTCTAATGAATGCCTTTAAAGAGCTGGTCACGCCGAGGAACAGCTCTGTCCCGTGAATAAATCTGTTTAACATCACTTCAGACTCACTGCAGCTGAATGAGGGGATTTTGACAAGAGCCACAAGCATATGCTTATTATGTATACTCTGGGGGTGCACACCCCAGGTGGTTATTTTTTAATACCTCTTTTAATGTGCATGCGTGTGACCCAGCACAAAATCTTTGATTTCAGTCTTCTCTTGTCAGCATTTACAGGAAAATGTTCATTGAGATGTGTCATATTATTACTTTTTGTAAAACTTTTTTGATGAGTTGCTGTTATTCAATTTACATTCACAATCAAAAGTCACAAATGAGATTTTAAAGCTGTACTTTGACATAAGAGAGAGGAGACAGAGATGTAAACTTTGACAAATGTGCACAACTGGGAGCGCTGCATTCTGGAGTACCATCTGGCGACATGTATTTGGCACTGGGACTGAGCGATTAAGCCTAAAGTACTTCACTCCCCTCCAGCCGAGCAGAACCCTGTGAAACTGAGAAAATGGTTTGTAGTGAAGAGATGGAAGACTGAACTGCTACTCATCTGCCAAAGGTTACAGTCCATAGTTCGAATGGAAACCTGTCCTCTGCATTTGACCCATCCTTCAATGATATTGGGGCAACTAGGCACAACCGGGCAGGGCTCAGGTACACATTTCCAAATTGTGAGCATGGTTTTGTTAGGATTAACAAGATGGAAAAAAAAGTTCAGGTAATTGTAGACTCAGTCACTCAATTAATTTTAACAACTATATTATATATATATATATATATATATATATATATATATATATATATATATATATATATATATATATATATATATATATATATATATATATATATATATATATATATATTTTTTTTTTTCATTTGTCTCAAGTTCTCATGGTCCATTTTCTGAATCCCACAGCATGGCCATATTTCTAAGAAATAGATGGATCGAAGACATGCAAAAACTAATGAATTATTTACTACCAGCTGCTTCCCAGTGTCTATGTGCGAAATGCAATAGAGACACCAGTGCAAGACATGCTATCGGTTTGATGCTCATTCAGTTGCCATCAACACAAAACAATAACTTATTACATATTCTAAAACGTGCAAGGCCACAGAGCAGAAGCTATCCTTTTGAACCTGCCATTTTAAATCAGCCTGAAACCCTTTCCCGCTCCACCATTCATGTCAACAAAATGTTTGCATTCACTCCCATTTTGCACATGTTGGTATTTAAACAGGTTTGATACGGGCGCCGAAGCATTTCCATAGCTCAAATGCTCACAATGCAGTAATGCAATTTACTCCCAGCGTCCCAGGGAAGCTAATCACATTTGGAGAACAAAGTCTGCCCCAGAGTTTATGGAAGAAGGGAGCAGGAGAATGACAGATTTGGTGGGGGTGGGTCTTAAACAGTGAACCGAATAAAACAATTAATGTATAGAAAGGGGCATAATCTAAGTAAAAAGCAGATGGAAGCTTAATAGATTTAGGCACGCTACATAACCAGAGGAGCTGAACAAACGTGCTGCTTTTGATGCCAATAAATCAGTTGAAATATTCATTCTGGGTAGCAGGTGCCTGGTGCAGAGAGCCTAAGCTAATCTCATCAAGTTTGGTGTTAACTTTCACCAGTTTTCCCTTTTTTCGCCAGTTTGACCGGCTTTAAAGCTGCCTCACTGAAGTGGCTAAAAAGTTGTGAAAGTTCTCCAAAAATGTGTGAAAGAAAGATTTTTAATTCACAAATTTGTCACATTCCATCATTCTCTTCTATGAAAATAAGTGTTTTTGCATTGGTCAAATATTTTGACTAATGAATAACGAATATGAATATTATTTTCCTTAATAACTATTCTCAACACGCTTAAAATTGGCAACGCAAAGCATTTTAATTTCACTTGAAATGTTTTGGGAAATGTACATTTTTGTCAGACTACTTTTGATTTAATTCTTTTATACATTACATATTTACCCATTATAACACCCATTACAGTATAACCTAAATAAAGGAATAGCAGTGTTAAAAAACTATAGTAAAAGCTTTAACTTTACTACTACCAATAATAATGAGAGTAATCGAGTTTGTAGAGAATCCATCTATAATACTTGGCAACAGTAGAATTAGGTGCTTTGCTTTGCACTTGTTCATTTTTTTATTAGTACTTCTTGTAACCATTTGAATTTACAGTACTTGGCTCAACAACGATTATAAAGACGCAATGAATTAAATTCCCCTGTGATAACTGCAGTTTCACTTGCCCTTTGACTGACCTGCAGCCCTCATACAACTCCTGGATCCTTACTTTAGTTTGTGTTTGCTCACAGCTGTGTCAGTTTTTCCTGGGCCTTGGGTCATAAAGTGATAGTTTGTGGATTAAGTGTCTGTCCTTTACACTGACGACCATTCCTCTGCATGTCCCTGCTCCTCCTACAGTCAATGGAAGCAGCAGGTGGACAGTGGGCCAGGGACAGGCTGAGTGTGTTTGACTAGAGCCCGCCTCATGCTCATAGTAGAACTGTGCTTGTAAAGGCACGCGAGCATCTGTCGCCTCGTCATTGTCACTCATTCAATTAGCAGCGATTTGGTGGATTCCATTCCAGTGGGGAGGAGCAGGACCACATAGTGATTGCTTTCACTGCTGCTGGAGGGAGAAGCTAATACCTCCCCCTTTGCATAGGCACAAACACAGCACCCCCATCACTGCTGTCATTGTTATTCATCCCGCTCGCCTCCACTCTCCCTTGCTTTCATTTCGGGGGTCCATAGCACTTTATGACTTTATGACTCGGTGGTTACCATTGTGTGTGTAGAAAGAGAAAGGGAGCGCAGCCTTGTTCTTGTGCACTGTGCATGTGATGATCACAGACCCAGCACAGCATATTGCAGTCCATGTCAACAGTTGGTGGACAAATTTACAGGCCGAGCAGAACAGCGAGGCATGGAGGACGAGCCTGAGCAGCTTCTGAGAGGAGCCGCATTACCCACATGCTCTGTCCTCTCAACAACATCACAGAATGTCAGGGCAGACTGATGGGGCATATAGTAAAACACCATTTCTCCAAATGGATGCTTTTCAAGTATATGTTACCATTAAAAGTCACAGAGTAGGAGAGGACAGTTAAATTAAAAGTGGAGGTCTCCTGTTGCAGAGTCAATAAAAACTCATTTTGACAAATGCTGACACCACCTCTGCCTCAAATACTAGTAATACTTTTAGTATTTATATGCAGGAGAGAATTATTTATTTCATTGAACTTTAGTCTAACAGGTACTTCAACAACCACTACTGCTGAAACAAAGACTACAACAGCTACAACTACTACTAATACTAATAGATGATTTGTACCAACAATATTTATGGATACTTGTAATTATTATTCCTACCTTCCACTACCACTATAAGAATTACTATGACTAGTTGCAACTGCTATAATGGTCAATCATTGTACTTTAGTCTAAAAGTGACTGCAGCAAAAACAACTACCACAATGACTACAACTGCTACAATGAGTACTACTACAACTATTCTATTACAACAAGTAGCACAACAACTATTTCTATTACTACTACTTCAAGTTCTTCTACCTTTTAAAGAATGACAACTTCTACAACTGATGCTGCATGGTGGCATTATCATAGTGCTGTGCTGGTCCCAGGGCCTTGTGCCCAATGAAAAGAACAGGCTGTTATGGCTTTTAACTGACTGATGCGCTGGGAGAGGTGTATAAAATATTCATACCTTCCCTTTGCAACACCAGTACAAAGTGTCATTTTAACTCTGCCACGGACACACTGTTCGGTTGACCAATGCATTAGCTATTCTCTTCTATTGTGCTCTCCCCAGTGAGACCAAGATTTGGATTTGTGGGCCATTACTTTTGACAAGTCCAAAAAAAAATCATTATTTCTAGTAGATTCTTCTCATACAAGTCAAAAGGTCAAACTG